AATGCCCAACAAACGATCATGACTTGGTCGTTTGCCACTGTTCGTCTCACTCACTGACTTGCAGATGGTTTCGGGTTTCGAAGCTTTGAGCCCCGCGCAGCTTGCAGCGGCGCGGCTGCTGCGTGCGCTGCGGGCGTCCAGCTTTGCGGCGTCGCCGAGGGATGGGGAGGCAGGGGCCTGCGCTCCGAAGGCTTAAGCCACGTGAATCGCCAGCTGGTATGGCTATTGAAGCCCATTTGATGTCAAACATGTTCAAACAGCAATTGTTCAAACATGTATGGTCAAATGGGGGCGTTTGTGCATGCTTGATTTGTGAGGGTTTAGGGCATCCCGAAAAATCCAGTCAGTCGTGCATGGGTGGCTTGACCCACCGCAGGCTTTAGCAGCGCTGTGCCGGCGAAGCGCTGACTCGGACGAGCACCACGCGGCGACGCCTGGCGGTTGTTTTTGGGGAGGAGGAGGTGATTGAAGCACCAGGACAACCAAGGTCCCGAGGGAGTCACCCTCAGACTTTCCCGCTGCCCCCGCACGAAGGTTGGCCCATGCAAGCAGCCAAATTTGGGGATGCTTTGCTGGGCCAAGGTTTGTACACTGGGCCTTTGCCGCTCCGTACCCGATGGCCGGGCAGAAAGTACATAGGGGTTCTCCAATGACAAACGTTTAGCCACATTACATTTGTCGTCAACAACCTTTCTTGCAGGGCCTCTGTTTCTTGCAGGGCAGAAGGAGGTCTTGCCTTTAGCATGGCTCGCCTTGAGGCTCGCAGGGCAATTGGTGGACCGCCTCTTTTGGTGGCGGCGAAACGCGTCCTCGGAGGCTCTAACCAGCCTGTCGAGGCCGGCTGTGCATATTTAGTTTTGTGTGGGTGAATGTTTTCTCGTTGCTTATGTGGCTGTTGAGTTGCCGGCAGCAAGGTGGGATGTAGGCTGTAAGGATGCATGCGGATGGGGGCAGTCGGGGCCGCGAGGAAGAGGGCGTGAGGTCACGCAGTAGCAGGCCATTCAATCTCAACCTTTGCCGCGTCCATACTTGCACCTTGACCTGTTGCAATCACAGCATGCCCACGCATCCACTCAGTTTTTTTGGCCACACTCGGCCACTCTGCGGTTCAGGTTTTCGGTCTCGGTAAGGTTCCTTTCAGGAGCTTCACCCAGCTGCTCTATACCCGGGTGGGCGACCGCGCCGTGTGGGACCTGGGGTTTGCGCGGCATCTTCACCTCCGCGCCGCCCGAGAGCGGCCCGGCCGGTCGGAGGTCGAAGGGCGAATTTGGCTGAGGTGCTTGGGTCGCGAGCGATGCTAGCACATGTCATTATCAATCATGTGTCCTGGAAGAGCCTCCCGAGGGAGGGCCTCCCCAGATTTGGTCTTGCATGCTTAATGTTGGTTCGCGTTTTCTTTGTTCTTCATGATGTGTGATCGTTGCTGGGGTACTTTGCTCAATCAAGCTGCAATTGCTCAACTGCCCCAAGTGCAAAGGCAACTGCCGCGGCACTTGGGGCCCGCAACACAGCAGCGAGAAGCCAAATTTGCTGTGATTCCCGAGCGAGGTAATTAGTTTAGATCACCAGTGAGATGTTGAGGGCAGCCCAGTCCCCCAAATCAAGCAAGAAATTCGGAGGGGTTCTGAAATGCAGGAAAGTGCAATAGTTTGCTAGCAGGGCCTATTAAAGCTTTCATAAGCCTATTAAAGCCTTAATAAGCCTTGATGCGGCTGAAAAAGGCTTAATAAGGCTTAATAAGGCTTAATGTGGTGGGGAGGCCCCCCGTGCCATGGACGCTTAGCGTCCATTTTGCGGGCAGTCTTCTCTGCCGTGCGTTTGCGGGCTCGATGGGTGAGCTCTCCGCTTACTTTGGGCGGCCAGACCTTTAAAAACTCGTTGTTTTTCGTGCTTTCCACTTCGCTTGCGCAACCCTCTGCGCACATTGGACGGGTAGACCTGTGAAACCTCGGTGTTCTTCATGCTTTCCACTTCGCTCGCGCAGCCCTCTGCGCACTTTAGTTTCAGAGCGGTAGAGTTTTGGCTTGGCTGCAGGCTTCATCTCAGCCTCACAAGCCTCAGGCTGTCGGGCATCCAGCTGGCAGAAATGCCCAGGTGGGGCCGGTGCGAGTTGCCCCCAAAAAGCAGACACTTTGTAACAATGGGCGCACATAAGCCTCAAATTTTCTCACATTTGTGTGCTATTCAATTCCGATGATGGATTGTAGCTTGGCCTTGAGCTTGGGATTGGATGGTGTCTCAGCGTGGCAGCCGTGACTTTTGTACGAAGGACGCCCTTGCGGGCCACCACAAGGCGGTCAGGTGGTTTTCTCCGCAAGGTAGCCGCGGCCACCCAAGACGCCAGGCTGCTGGAGTCTTTCAAGGTGGTGGTCACCTCGCGGGCCATGCGCCCGGCCCTGTGGTGCCCTGGCCGAGGGTTACACCGCTTGTTGGTTGCGCGGAATTTTTCAGCACTTCTATGGAATGAACGGAGCGCTGAAATGTTGGGTCTGTTTATAAGTATGCCGCAAGCCTTTTTGGTAGGACAATGGGGGCTGGATTGCACTTGCCAGTGCTTGATTTAGAATCGGCAATTCTCAATTTAGTGTTGGCAATTCTAAATTTAGTACTTAAACCACCGTGTATAAGTAAAGGATAGGGCTTTGATTTTGGAAGTTCACACCCACCCAAACCGCTTGCCATTAGCAGACCCCAAAACAGTCAGATAAAAGAGGATTAAGGGATACCACCTTTGTGTGACTGTTAGTCTGTTTTTGGGAGTGGGGACCACCTCAACAACTAAGGCTTTGATCTGCTCTTGCTGCCTGCGTTTTTGAATAAAGCCAGCCCCGAAACAGTCACAGAATGCCGAGTTGTGAAAAGCACCTTCCATAAAAGTGACAACAACCGCCTGCTCAGTACGCGGACTTGGGGGGTCGCAAGTCCTAGGCCGAGGCGCGCAAGTCAGTGTTGGCCTTGACCTCTGCTGAACGCACTGGCCGGCCTAGGAGGAGCTTCTTGCAAGCCGTGCAGCGGAGCCTGGCAGAGTGGGATGCCGCTTGGATGATCTGGGAGGCTTGAAGGGTTGGATGTGTAGGTGGTGAGCTAGATGAAGGAAAGCCCAGGCAATGTGACGTCGCATGCGAGGAGCAGGGCTGGAGTCCTGGGGCCCACACTGCGGTTTTGGCCTTGAAATTCATAGCTTGCAGTCTCAAACTGGGAGTCAAGCATGCTGTATTCCTGTTTCTTGAGGAGTGGTAAGAAAGCACGCCCGAGCCGTGCAAAGGCATAGTATGCTAAACAGTGAAGAATGCAGCTATTGTAGACACTTGCTGTGACCTGGCATGGCTAGGGAGCTATGCTTGCAAAGGTTCAAGTGGGAATTGGCATGCCAACTTCTTTTCCACAGCGCGATGATATGTTCTGCCCTTCGTAGGTTTGGAGCTGCCACAGCCAGCACAGCAATGCCTCCGCAAAAAGCAGCTAGGACAGCCCCTCTATTGAGGCTTTCATCCTCTATTTACTGAGACAAAGGGAACATCGCCAATCTTTTTTTCATGCTGGTGTGCCGGCCAGTGGCCTGACAATCAGCCACATCCAGGATGAGAGCGTCGCGCGGCTTTTGCCGCAGCTGGTGGAGCTTGTCAGGCCATGATGGCAGGGGGTTGGCTGTGTTTTCATGATGGTTCACCTTCATGCAATTGTGTATGGCGTATGTCACATATATATATATATACATATATATGTACACATTTGTTCTATTTGATCTCATATGGCTTTTGTTGCATTCAGAGAACGCAGAGGAACTGCTGCTCGTGCCTCGCAGTGCATTGTGAGGAGCCTCTACCCTGCATTTCCTCAGCATCCATCACTTGAAACTTCTTTACTTGTCCTGAGGACACAGGGAGCGGTGACAATAGTGGGTATAATAGTGGGTATCCTCGGGGGAATCAGCCTTGTAGAGGCCGCAATTGTGGTAGCGGAGCAGGTTTTTCATACAAAGGAAGACTATACGAATCATCATGGAGCGGCTTGATGCCTACAATCATGGAACAGCCGCCACAGTATCTCCCAGCAGCACAGGAAGCAATGCAAGACAAGCCCCGCAGCCGCAGCCGCCGGCTGCAACTGGAGCGCCCGCTGTTCAATCAAGGTCTACCAAATTATTCTCCAGCGACGCACAGAAAATCCGAAGCCGCTAAAAATATATGCGCCGCCGGTGAGATCACATCCTTGCAGCACTTCGGCCGGACAGTGAATTATCCTCCGTAAAGTTTCGATTGCATGTCCGACATCCAACCATGGAGAAGGTCAAGCTGGAACAGCCGACAATGGGATATCCAATTGAACTTCCTGAAGGCGTCAAGAAGATCACCAAGGTCTACAATTGCGATATCATCATGTGCTATGTCAAGATCGTTGGGTCGCTTCTTCTTCAGTCCACCAGTCAGCTAAGTCAGTGAACATGAGGCCAACTAGGGAACGCCCAACCAGAAAAAACATCAGCAGAAAACCGAAACTTGAAGAGTCCTATGGGAACCATTCCAATGGCAGGCAGGCCTAGCATTCACAACCTTACGCGTAATTCCGCACACATCCTTTGCCTCCAGCGCAGAGGCCGCCAAAGAGGTGTCAACAGCCTTCGTCAAGGCGTTGAACCGGGGTTAAGCAGGACAACGCCAGAGCCATTGAAGGCAACAATTGTTGACGCGCCGCGCTGCCATCGCGATGGGAATCTTCAAGTGTTACTTTGGCCTTGCAGATGAAGCAGATTAGCAGATGATCATGCTCAGGAGACTTCAAGAAAGATCAGGCCTCGCCCAACATGAAGACAAAGTCCGAGAGATGTATTTTCTTATCATGGCCACCGTCGATGATGCGCTTTTGGTTCTCAAATCTCATTGTGACATCATGACAGGAGTGGCAGGAGACGCCGCAAGGCTGCGAATACTTGCGTCACAAAACAGAAAGAAGCAAGGACCATAGCTTGTTTCTTCATTGAACTCATTTATTTAGTTATCATGGGGCGCTCTTTTCGTCGCCTGCTGAGTCAAAACCCTCTTTGATTCTTTCACGGGCTTACGGCAACACCAGTGGCCTCTCCCAGCAGCCTACATGCGCCCCTCAGTCATTCTTGGTGTCACGCTGGGCTTTTTGCCCAAGTGGCAAGTTCCGTAGGTTGACGCTAGTGATCCTATCAGATCCGCTGCAAGGCGTGTGTTCGCATCGCGCATGCGTTTGAATTGCCCCACGCAGGAACGTGTGTGCGCCGGTTGGTGTCTTGCGTTCCGTTCTCCACCCCAATTGCCCCAACGCATCCCCAGCGCCACCCGGACGCAGCCCGAGAGCTTTTTCCGTGCGCAAGGCGGTGCCCCTTTCCGGGCCTCACGGACCGGCAGCTCCTGCGGGACCTCATGCGTATGGCAGGACCAGAGGTTTTGCGACGGCCCCGATGTTTGGAAAACGCCCACTCCGATCGCAGCTTACTTCGGATTAGCGACCTGCCTGACCATCAGCCGAAGCACCTCACTGGCCCGGCAAGTTTGAGCTGGGCGGTGGGTGTTGGGGCTGAAGCCGTCCAATCTTCTTGTCTTCTGTCTCCCTCTGTCTCCCTCTGTCTCTCTCTGTCTCTCTCCGTCTCTCTCTCTCTCTGTCTCTCTCTGTCTCTCTTTGTCTCTTTCTTGTCTCTCTCTGTGTTTCTCTGTGTCTTCTGTCTCCCTCTCTCTCTCTCTCTCTATATCTCTCTCTCTATCTCTCTCTCTGTCTCTCTCTGTCTCTCTCTGTCTCTCTCTGTCTCTCTCTGCCTCTCTCTGTCTCTCTCTGTCTCTCTCTGTCTCTCTCTGTCTCTTTCTGTCTCTCTGTGTCTCTCTCTGTCTCTCTCTATCTCTCTCTGTCTCTCTCTGTCTCTCACTCGCTCTCTGTCTCTCTGTCTCTCTCTGTCTCTCTCTGTCTCTCACTCGCTCTCTGTCTCTCTCTCTCTCTCACTCACTCACTCACTCACTCACTCACTCACTCACTCACTCACTCACTCACTCACTCTCTCTCTCTCTCTCTCTTTCTCTCTCTCTCTCTCTCTCTCTCCCCTTGCCTCGCCTCGCCCGCTCGGATGCCCCACCATCGCTCTATTTGTCATCATGGCCGAAATCATGTGTATGCTCAAGTTCGGGGTGCAAGAAAACAAGAGGACTCCGATGGGACTCAGAGGGTGAAGCTTGGAGTCGTAGTCTTTTTGGTCACATAGCTGCAAGACATGTGAATTGTTGCAGCAGTGGTTGATCCCTGACTAATGCTTCAGCCAGTTTGATGACTTCCCCCGGCTCCCTTTCCCTGCTAAGCTTTGCGTCATTTCCTCCATGACCTCTTCACTTTTGTTTGGGAGTGTCTCAGAAGAGAACCCGCATAAAGAGCAATCCAAAACGTGCAGTCCCCCCCCGCCCCAAACCCCAAGAAAGCTTCACACAGTCCCGTGGGCCCTGAGGACCTGCCGTGGACCTCGCTCCGCCTCTGGAGTTGGCCCGGCTGCTGCACTCCCTGCAGGTCATGCTGAGCCCGGCGGCCTACCGAGAGGCGCGTGCGGGACATGTGCCCAGGAAGGCGGCTTCACTCAGGGTTAAATATTTTTCCCCTGGTGGCTTTTTTTGGGCCGCTTCCTTTAGGTGATGTGATGTGGAGGGGGAAAAATACGGAGAGCCCCTGTCATAGGCAAGCTTCAGAATTGCGGTAGCGCAAAGGTCCGCAGCCTTTGCACCTTGGGCCCCGAGAGCTCCAGGTGCTGCTGAGCTTCGGCCCGCGCCTGCGTCGGCGCCTGCGGGATGCGCCGCCGGCGCTGCTGAGCGCTTGCTGCGAGCCGGGGGATGGAGGTACTTGGCAAGAGGGGAAGCAAGAGGCTATTGGTATTTGGAAGGCTCCCAACTTTGCGACTGTGATTATTTTGAGCCCTTCACTTTTCTTTTTTCTCCCGAGTGGATTAGATCAAGTACCAAGAAGGTCTATTGTGCCTCAAAACGTCACGCACCATGATTGTGGGTTCCGTGAGTTTCGTGAAGGGTTCCCAAACTCGACCACGGGTAAGACTCGAGTGGAGGATTCGCAGGGCAATGCTGGCTCCAGATCTGCTTCAGTGGCGGTATGCAGCCAAATGGGTTTGCGCGGTAAGTTGCATCCCCAGTACGCCAGGCAGCTGGCCAGCGTGGTGGCGGCAGGAGGTCCTGAGGCGCGAGTGTTGACGTCAGATTTGCCTTCTAAGACTTCGGGGCTTGAAGGCAAGTTGTTGCGTACCCGAAGGCTCGAAGGGGTTTTGCTTGAGGCTTGTACGGGAGTGAGTGACAAGATTGTGCGCATAGCACGGGGCTTGGCAGTAGAATCTGGGGTCCAGGGCTTCGATTTCGGCATTTCTGGTGCGTAAGCGTCGGGGGGAGGGTTGAGACCTACGAACAGGACTTGCTTAGAGCAGGCTGGTGACCAGGCCAGATCTGGCAAATGGGTGGTGTGGTTCGTCCTCTCTTAAGTGATCGGAAGGTGGTGAATGGCTGGAATTCCCAAGGTCAAGTATGACTTAGCGCAACAAGTGTTGACACTTACTTGCGCTGCCCATAGCCCCGCGGTTGGCAAGCCTTGCGTTGGCTTTCAGGCCCTGGGCCGCCGAGCTGCGGCGCCTGCGCCGGGCGCTGGTGGCGGGCCCCTGGCAAAAGCGAAGCCTCTACGAGCGGGAGCTGCGGCGACTGCAGGCGGCTCGCTCGCCGGGGTTTCCGTCCCGAAATGCGCGCGCAAAGCGACCCGTTCAGGTGCTGGATTTTCTCAGTCCAGAGCCAGTCAGAAGGGGGCTCCGGGGGGGGGGGGGGCATGTTTCCTGTGTTCGTGGTGGGGTAAGGCGTATAGGGAGCCCTGTTGAGCCTTCTTATCATGAAAGTGGATTGGGGCCTTGTCGGGATGGTGGTATCTCCTGTCAACTTCCGTGAATGTTGGCTGCAGCATTGAAATAGGAACATTTGTTTCGCCCAAATGGACTTCAGAAGTCTGCTCCCTACATGGCCACACAGAAATTGGGCCCTGTGCCTTTTGCAAGGCAGCAGTAAACGAATGGTAGGAAGTCACTCAATCAGTCCTAAAGCTGCTTCGGATATTTGTCACCTTTATATAGATGGCTTCCTGCAGTTGCAATCAGAACAGGAAATTGCGTTGACAAAACATGTCTCAAGACCTGCCGTAGCACTTAAATAGACCCGACTTACCCAAACTTACCGAACAACGTCACGCTGAGCATCGTATTTCACTTCCTTCCAGGGTTGTAGTCAGAAACTGGGGTTCTTTCCCTATCTGCCACTGAGAGGGCGACCTGTGCTGATTCTGGGCACAGCTAAAAACGAAAAACGGCCGTTCCGTGCTGCATCGCGCAGCTCAGCGACCTGGGGGACGCCTGGCAGCTGCCGCTGCTGCGCTCCCTGGGCGCCACGGCCTCCAGCGCCGTCTTCGCGCGCCGGGCCCTGCGGGCGGTGCTGAGGCCCCTCGATCGCCGGAAGGAAGCCTCGCTTTCCCGGTCGCTGCTCCCTTCCCATCGGTATTTCTGAGGATTTCTGAGGGTGTTCGTGGGAAATTCGCAGTGGAACAGTTTGCGAGATGCCTGCAATTTGGGCGAATCAATGGGCACACTCCAAGTCAGAGACAAACTCGAACATTGGATTTTCGACGTGGTCCATGTCGTGTTTGGAGTCTTCTTAGCCCTTGAGTGAGATGCCGAAACAGGTCTCAGCGATACGCAATTACCCAACAAACTTCAGCGGCCCTTCCTCGCAGCATTCGGTTGGTGCCAGTGCTGTGGATGTGCTTAGCAGTATATGGCCACCATTTGGGTATGGAGCGGGATCTCAGCGGTGCTTGCATGTTTGTAAGCATGTGGCTGCTGGGACGTGTGCTTCTTTAGAGGGCATGGCACAAAGAATGCGGCTATGTGGTACAGCAGCGGGTTTGATGGTTCCAAGTTATGTGCAGATGAGCCTTTCATGAATCTTCGCCCCCCCCACCATCCCCGACTACACCAAGCGAGCGAGTGAGGCGAAGGCGGGCCTTGGACGCTTCGAGCCCCTGGGCGCTGCGGGCGCTGGGCTTTGTGGCCTGGGACCTGGGCGGAGTCCGGGAAGGCCTTCGAGACGGCGAGGGGGGAAGGAGCTAAGCGAAAAGTCGGTTTTCACTGGAAACCGCGTGGCCATGCATTTGGTTTGGAGTGACTTTTCCCTTGGGGGGGGGGGGTAGAAGGCCATGCTCTGATATCGGTTATGTTCGCACGATGTGATTTGACTTGGGAGGGATGATAGTAGTAGTAGTGGTGGTGGTGGTGGTGGTGGTGGTAGTGGGGGCGGCGGCGGCGGCGGCGGCGGTGGTGCTCGTAGTCGTCGTCGTTGTCGTGGCAGTAGCGGTAGTGTTAGTGGTAGCGGTAGCAGTAGCAGTGGCGTCGTCGTAGTTAGATTTCTTTGACGATGTTTTCGTGTGGCGGATTACAGTGTTTGGGCGTATGCATCCAAATTTTAGGCAAGCATCGCTGTTTGTGAGACTTCTGCTTGGCTTTGGCATTGCGGCATGCACACAGAAGCGGGATCAGCATGAATTCGGCGCATTTGTATGCAGCTGAACTGGATTGTCGAATGCTTTCTTGGAGTGGTATTTTCACGATGCCATGCACGTCAACGCTTGTCAATTATTTGTTGAGTGCCATGCATCTGCTGGAGGCTATCTTCAAGCTAGCGGAATGCAGGTAGGCTGACAGGTTGTGCCCGAAAGGCTTTCGGGCGGGCAGGTTTCATGGCAGCACGTGGGACTGCATGGTGCCCGCTGATCTTGACTTTGACACTGTTTTGGCTTTGGCCAAACAGGAATTCACGCAACACCGACTTGATTTGCAAGCAGGCAATATGCATCCGCTGCCTTGAGCTGTTCGGAACTGTTCGCTTTATTTATTCTGTACATGAGAAAGCGGCGCGGCTAGTCCCTGCGCTTTAGGGCAGTTGTGTGTTTTCAGGCCCTTCAGGCCTAAACCACGTTCCTGTTGCTTCATCCATGTGCCGCAGATGGAAAGCTGGTGTCAACGGCCACCCGCGAGATGAGCGCCGAGCTTGACGCGCCTCGAGCCGGCAACTGGGGGCTTCTTGTTTCGGGTTCACGCAACTGGCATGTCACTGGCTCTTTAGAAGATGAGTGGCTTGTAGGTGCCAACTGGCCATCATCAGCATGCCCTTCCACAAGAGGTTAGGGAACTCTTGTGGGCACTCTGGCATCAGACTGTTGCAGCACGCACCGTCCGCCAAAGGGCCTGGTGGCCGCACTCGGCAGGCAGACAAGCTGCTCAGCGTGGACCTCGGCTTCCTGGAGCCGAACTCGGGTTGCGAGCCGCTGCGAGCCTCGTAGTTTCTCCTGCGCTGCTTGTGGTGTGTAGCGGTATCTCTGCGTCTCCGGGCTCCTTTGTGTGGCCCTTGGCACCGGATCTTGCTTCGGGGAGATGGGGAGTACCATCAACCACCACGCGGAGTTTTCTTTGGTTAGCGATGTCAGCCCAAGCTCGAGCCCAAGCGCTTGCCGACGTTTAGGCCTTCGCAAAAAATGAGCCAGATTTTCCCGGCTCGCCTGCACGAGCTTCGTATTTCCTTTGTGAAGCATTTGCGGAGCTGCTAAGGATTTTGTTTGTATTGTTTGGAGGGAAGCAGCCAGCCTTCTGTTTTCACCGGGCTCCTCACAAACATTTGTCCAACGTTCGCACTCGCCGAAAGGAAACCATTTTCGGGGGGTAAGGTTCAGGTGGATAAGAACACACTAGGTCCGGGACTTCCAAGCCTTGCTCCAGGAGCGCCGCTACCGCCGCCACGGGGACCTCGAGCGCATTGTGCTGCTGGAGCTACTGGAGCGATCCGCTGGCAGGCCGCAAGTCACACGCCCAAGACCAAAGGATCCTTCGGCTGGGCCTCCTCGCTCTTTTGGGGGATTCGTGAGCAACGTCTCACAGGCTTTGTGGTGACATGCCTGCAAAAGCAGGCAGCATTTCAACACGTGGTGACCTGAGTCGGGGCATGAGCAAAGCGGGTTTTTGGTGACCCAGCCCCAACAACACTCTGACCTTTGGCACCCCGAAGTTTTGCAGACGTCACGCTTCCAACAATGCGCTAAAGATGCTGGCCTGCCCTGCTCTCATCGGGTTTGTAGGCAGGCGGCTGGCACTGTGGACCTCTTCGTGGATCGCCCGGTCTGCATCTCCTGCCTAGGTCACCGATGGGCAAATCGGGGCGCAGCGCAAGCTGTGGGTTGCCTTCGTGGCGCACACGCCACTAGCATAGTCGGCCCTGTCAGGCGTGATTGCGCAATTCCGGGCTTTGCTTCCTATGGTGCAGGCGCGGCCTGTAGCACAGTGCATGCGAGTGAAGAACCATTTCACTGGGAAGGTCGGCTTGCATGTTTGAGCCCAACCATAAAGGAGTGCTACCATGGATCAGGGAAAGTTTAGGCTAAGAGTTGTGAACTAAACACACTTGGTAACCCGAATGTAGAAGAACGCAATAGAAAACTGCAATGACAAGGTCACGCAAGACCACTGAAAAGAGACCCCCCCCCCCGCCAAACACCCCCTGAAGACTTCCCCCCTGCAAAGACATCTAAAGTCATCCTGAAGACATCACCTAAGACATCCCCAAAGACATCCCCCAAGCGCCCATCCCCAACGTCCAGAAAGAGCCCCAAAGATTTGACTCGGAGGACATCCACCCAAGACAACTGCAAAGACAACCCTACAACCTCGGAAGACATCCCCAAAAACATCACCCAAAGTCACCTTCAGGACATCGACCAAGACAACCTCAAAGAGATCCTCAAAGAACCCCCCACGAAATTTGCACGCCAAGCTCCAAAGTGCTGCGCCCGCAAGTGAGCTTGGAACGAGCTCAAAGAGTCCAAAGTATTGTGCCGCGGCTGCAACGAAATCCAAGTTTGACACACTTACGACACGCATCCAAAAGTAGCACGGGGCTGTGGCACCAGAAAGATTTCGACCAAGCGAGCACGCAAATCAGGCACGCCGACGCAACCTTCCAAAACACTGTGCCCGCGCAGCGACATCGCAAAAGCTAGGTACGATTTGCGCGCAGGCGCAACGAACACAACATCTTGCAACTCATGCAAATCGCACATTGCGAGCCTTCAGCAACGGCACGGCGACTTTTGCCACATGCGAACGCTTGCGGACGCTTGCGGACGCTTGCGGACGCTTGCGGACGCTTGCGGACGCAGCGACGCATCTGGCGTCTACAACGGGATACGCGTTTGGGACAAACAAGAATCAAACGGACCGCTTTTCCATTCTCAGTTTTGCTGGCTCAGACTCGTGGATTTGGGCCAGGGCAGATTTGGGTAACCAGGTAAGGGTTTACTCAGATGTTAACCGCCAGCTGCGCTTCGCCTTCCTGTCGCCGCCCTTCTTCTCCCGGGAGCCATCCCAGCAGCGCCTGCAAGGCAGGATCAATGTCGATGGGTGGGCAGGGCATTGCCATGTCCGCTCAAGAATCGAAGTACGAGTTTGATTTGTCTCTCGTTCTCTCTCGATCTCTCTCATTCTCTCTCTCTCGTTCTGTCGCGTTCTCTCTCTCTCTCTCGTTCTGTCTCGTTCTCTCTCTTTCTCTCTTGTTGCGGTTAACACTTGTGTTAAAAGTAACAACCGATAGCGGAAGGCATTTGAATCACACTCAGATTCGAACCTTGAGTGCCTGCAGGATGACACTGCTTGATTCATGCTCCGTTCGCCATTTTGGCGAATTAGCCAAATTTTTCTTTTTTCCGACCTACCTGCCCTGCCTGCTCGACCGCCATGACTGCTCCAGCGAATTTCGCATCCCTCGTGGAGGAGTACCAGCTCATGGAAATGACCGAGCTCGACCCGGATTATGAACGACTGTACCGGGCCCTTCAAGACCATCTTTCGATCCTGCCCGAGGCGGTCGGTCCGGGCAACATCTTGCAGGGCAATCAGGTCTGCAACCAGTTCATCAACCATTCCGGCTGCAGGGGACGTGCACCTGCCTCTGCCCACCAGTGCGCCTTTTTGCATCCGGAGTTCGTTGATGCGCGTTGGATGCCGCGAGACAACATCTGTTACCGACATCTTCGACAACAGGCCCGGCATCCAGAAGGCTTTTGCGACAGTGGTGCCGAATGCCGCCATGTTCACAGCGACTCAGTCCTGCATGGTGACCTTCTTGCCTGGCTGCGCTTCGTGCACCATGCCAGACCCAACGCCGGCGTGGGCATCCACTATGACACAGCCCACCGTGAATGGCGCTTCGTGTCCAGGCGGGAGGCCTTTGAAATCCTCCGCGACCACCTTCACGGCGAGTGGAACACGCCCATTCACCACATGAACGTTCGGTACCCCGATCCGTGCACCTACCAGATGCCATACGCGGTACCACGTGGCCCGCCAAGCACATTGAACCCGTCTCGCCAACGGAACAACACCCCCCGACAGCAGCGAGGCCGCTCCACACAACCGGGATACTCCCGAGCTATGACACCACCGCGGACCGTCAACTTCGCGACACCCACGGCTCGCGACACTCCCAGACAGGCCCGATTCCCGGAGGCGACCACCACATCGACCGGGCCCGTCCCGCACCACATGCCTTCACCACGCCCGCAACCCACCACACCATCCAAGGCGGCACCCCCCACACCATCCAACCAACATCACGACTTAGTCCAGTGGCTCCAGCCGCCAGGCATCGACCGTGACGACAGCACACAAGGCCTGCTGTCAACCCAGCGGGCCGGACACATCCGCGCGCGGGTACACGAAGATGCCACCTTCCTGATCAATCCGGAACTGCTACCGGAATTCCCCTCCGTCCTCGACCACATCGGCTTGCAATGGCACCTGACCAACTACGGCATCTTCTCGCGCACCCCCACCAATGTGTACGGCAATGACTTCGGGGGCCTTTTTCTTGTACCCGTGGAACCAACTACGCAGGTCACACCTCTCAGGAGCCTGCTGCGCTGGATTATCCAGCAACACGTTCACCAACAACTCCAGCTGCTCAACAGCGCCAACCGGCAGCACATGCTACAACAACTGACCTGTTCCTGGCTTACCTTCGGGAGGCAGCTCTGTCGCGCCTCCCGGCGAGACCCTTTTGTGGACAACATGGCAATCACCTTCGGGGAGACCATCATTGAGACAATTTCCAATTTCCTGACCCCCGAACAACGCACCATGGCGACCATCGAGGGCATCCTGCTCGGCCCCGACGGACACCTGCGCTTCAACCGGGAGCTCTAAGACTGAGCAGAGCCAGGACTCCCGCTACTGACCAGGCGGCACCGAGGAGTCTCCAAACCCGCCACCCTAAGTTGACCCACCAAGTCCATGTCCCGTGCGATGGTGGGCCAGCAATAGGGCGATGACCCTCATACCGCACAGGTGACACCCATGCCTAGGCGACCGCCTGAGGCCCCCTTTTCCCGAAGAGAGATCCATCTTCGGACCGCGCAAAAGCGCTGAGAGCCTCGAGCCCGGGTCGACCCTCTTCGTCCCCCCTGTTTGATTCGAGAGGATACCCCTTGACAAACCGACCCACTGCTGAGGCCCATACTGCGGTGACCAATCCCCACTCGCCTGCCCCGAACCCGACCGGTCTTTCACCCCACTTCGGATCCCCTGTGGATTACCCTCGGTTTCTTCGGGTCGGATCCCTGATGACAAACTGGCCGACCCCGGTCACCTTCACACCGCAGGGAGTTGGTCCTACGGGACAGCTCCACCCCTCGGGATGACATTTGTGCCGGTGTGGCGTGTCATCTAACACGACGTTTGTGCCGGTGTGGCGCGTCGTACAGATCCCCCCCATCAACGGGCCATCCTTGGACCCGAGTCACCTAGACACACCCCCCTGGCCCGACCAACCCCCCCCCCTTTGACTCACACCCGGCACACTACCGACTCCTGCGTGAGTTCGGCAAGCGCCACCTCCAATTCCGAAGGAATTTTCAGGCTGGCTTTTGTGTATCCGATATCGCACCCCCTTCGCACAACATGGCACTTCGCGAGACCGACGCAGTCTGCGAGCTCCTCCTGCGGTCCTACAACACCGGCGTCCTCTCGAGGTTCCAGACCTTCCGCACCGAGAATCCCCGCCTCTCCACCACGGACGCGATCGACCTCTTCATGGAGTCGACCAACACCGAGCCGGGCACACGGACACGCTACCTGCTGCTGGACTGGCACAACCTGAATCCAACACCAGCCACACTGCAGTGCTCGTTCTGCCAGATCCCATACCAATCCCAGTACATCATGCCCCTCTGCTTCTCAGAGGAAACCGACTGGCGAAACAAGTGGGTCGGGGCGTGCTACGGGTGTGCTACCTGCGACACCAGTAGCGTGCCGTGGTTCCAGTTCGAGGAGCTCCTGGCCGACCCGAACTCCCTGATTGCAGAACACGCACCGTACAACACCATCGCAGAGCACCCCGACCTCGCGGCCATGATCAGCGACCATACCATCGCCCCACCGACCTTACAGATTGCGGTGCCAGAGACGGACGACGCTCACGACGCCTACATCACCGTGCACAGGTGGGACCAGGTCAACCGCCGCTGGATCAGGGTACCAGCCCTCGACGTGAAGAACCGCCGGCCATTCACCCTCGAGGTGTTCAGCAAGCTGTGCCGACGAGCATGGCGACGCCGCTTGGACTACATGACCAACAAGGCCGTCGGCACCATCCGCACGAACACCCACACGGACATGATGGACTCCTTGCGCGAGATCCACCCCGGAACCTCCAACAACCACCTTCGCCGCCTCATCAGCGACCACTCCAAGTTCCTCGCCGAAACCATGTGCCTCGACCTCATCAACCTGGCACCCGAGGACCGACGAGACCTATTCCTCATGTTCCACAAATGGGAGAGGCAGCACCTCACCGAGGCATTGCGCGCAAACAGCACCGGGACCCTCCTTGAGTTCTTGGACTCTGACGACTATCCCACACACCTCACCGATTTCATCACCCGCGTCCTCCCGTCCACCGACGAGCACTTTATCTGCCGACGTCAGTCGTGCAAAGCGGTGGTACATTCGTCACATTGGCTGCGCGCCACCGCCAACATCACCGAGCACGGCCAGTTCTTCTGTCCCGAGTGCCTCCAGCAATACCACCCCTGGAAAACCTACAGTGACGCCAAAGCCGCATCCCGAGGGGAGGCCCTGACCGCAGCCGGCCAAGACGACACAGAACGCTTCGTGCCGGCCCAGAAGTGCCTCGTGGTACGCGCCACCGCTGGAGCACACGAGACGGACCAATTGGCAGAGGCCATCACCGGCGACGACGACCGGCGCTACATGCTCTACCTTCTTCGCTGGGAGGAGGACACGACCGGCAAGCTCATCCAACAGATGAAGGTCCACATCAACGAGATCGCATCCGACCTGCGACAAGCCAAGGACCCCCGCGCCTATCTGGCCGACATGATCATGAACAACATGCAGACGGCTCAGAAACTGCCATACATGCACAGGACCTTCTGGACCCAAGAGAAGCTGGAGCAAGTCGCCCAGCGCAACCTGGGACGCATCAAGCCACTCCGAGTCGACCTGCTCCCCAGCCAGAAGCGACAACGCCACCAACCCGCCACGCCCTTCTACGACATGCGGCGCTATCGCTACGACCCCAGTTCCACCCGCATCCTTGAGTCCTCGGACCTCGCCAGAGTGATGGGGCTGTGCTTTTGCCGCCTCAAGCTCTGGACCTGCCAAGACCTCGAGGGGGCGGACCGTCTCAACCACTTGAGCGCCCTGTGACGGACCTCGACCAGCACCGCAACCACTACGACCCGAAGGGCGTCCGTGTCCCGCGCGAGCCCGGAGGGTCCGACCAACGCGGTTGCCTTCGCACGACCCATCTTCCTGAACCTGCCGCCGAAGTGCAACCTCGTTTGGCAGTACGTCAGGACACCCGTGCAAAGAGCAAAAGGCGCACCATGTGTTTGAAGCCAAACACCCCTAAATCCCCCCGAACTTTTGCTCACCTTGATTGTTTGCATTGTGCTTTTGTCTCCACGTGTGGCAAACCTTTGATACATTTTACATAGCCATTTTTGGCCCCTCTCGGCCCTTGATACAGATCACCCCGAGATGACGTTCCGTGACATTCGAGCATGGCTACACCAGCGGTCCTTGCTGGCGATCGCCCCGCTCGTTGCCCTAGCCGGAATAGACGACTTGGCGACATTCCGCAACATGGACCGGGCTGCATTGGTGCGGATCGGCGTGCCACACGACCTGATCAATCGACTCCTGGGCGACGACCAACTGGTCCTTGACTACATGCCCCCGGTCCGGCGCGACATCCAACCATATCACACCACACGACACGGCTCTCTCAACAGAGCCATTGCGGCGGGAGCGCCTACCTCACGCGAGCAGGCCCTACAACTCCTAGAAGACGAGACATACGCAC